AAACATTTCTCACATTTTTTATTACAACTTTTTTTTTTATCTTCTATGATTCACTCATCGTCTACCAACATCTATTCTCTTCTTACCTTATATTGGCTTATATATAATATACTCGAATATAAATTAGTTTTCAAGATAGTTTATATCTATTTTCTTCTTCATATCTTTCAATTCTCAATCTTTTTTATATGTTGCATTATCTTTTTATTAAAATGAACATTAGATCATAAGGTTTCTTTGACCATGTTTTGGTGCATGTAAATTGATTTTAAATATACGAAATGTTGGAGTAATTATTTAAAATGTAGGCAAGTTAAATATCATTAAAAAATAATTTATAAAATGTATACTCGGAGTGTGAATCCGCAAATTTCAGCGAAAAAAAATTGTGAATCCGCAAATTTCCCGCCAAAAACCTAAACTTGTAACGTTTTTGCTAAAAATGTAAATCCGTGATTTTCCCACCAAATGATGATGAATATTGTTGTTTTTATATTCATTATTAATTAATTTATTATTTTAATGGGTCAACTATTAACTCATTTAACTGTAAACTCATTAGATAATCAGAGCCGTGCCTCAAGGTATAACAAAGAAACCTTCGCCTACGTCCTCAAATTTTTGAAAAAAACTTAGAAGCATATTTTTCTACAAGATACCTTTAGTTTAATATGCCCAATATTGAAAGATCACTTGCATTTATCTAAGTAATAAGAAAAATAAAATTAAAGTAGAAAAATATTAAAAGAATTAGGAAACTAAACAGAACAAAGTATTATAAATTTAGGTTAATGATTATCAAGTTATGCATTATAGAAATTGTATTGTATATAAAAATATATTAGATGTTTCATAGTATTTCAAATTTTGATAATAATACAATACATCTTATAACTAAAACTATAATGTATTACTTAATAATCATGAAAAATGATTGAGTGACTTGGCGATCTTATCTATCGAAAGAGAATTGGTTAGAGAAATTGACTATGAATGTTTGGCTAATAATTTTGTTGGAGAGAAAGGGAGAAGAATTACGTTTTAGAACTAATTTTATGTTTTGGTTTTGACGTAATTTCATCATATGGCAATTTATCTTTGTAGAAGCATCTTTTTTTTTTTCCTCGAACACCATTTCTATTAAGTTGTCGGAAAGAGACTATCCGATAGGGAGAGCCAATCAGGAACCGATTTGCTTACATGGGAAAAAAAGACAGTTTAGAGCTCTAGCTTTGTAGAAGTATCTTTGTTTTGTGAATTGGGGCAAATTTCATTTGACCGCCTCTGGCAACCATTGACCTTGGCACGGCTCTGTAGATAATGAGTTGAGTTAGGGGCTAGGTTACCCATTTTGACACCCCTATATACGCATTAATCTGTTTATTAATAACATGATGTTAAATATTTATTTTAAAGTGCAAAAATAAAACAATATAAGACAATATGGCACATATTGCTAAAAACAAATATATTAGATCGAACATCTTATATATGTTAATTTCAACTTTAAAAAGATAATAAATATGTTTTTATATATATAATCTCGTAGTAATTATTGAAACTGCTAAAACTATTAAATATATATTTTCTGCAATTTATACCACATTAATAAATAAAAAATTCATAATAACTTATCTTAAAGAAAGAAGAAATAAAATTTGGCACATGTGTAGACTATGTTTTCATAGTAATTTATTTTATATATGTGTAGCATGTAGGATATCTTTTTCGAAAAATTTATATGAGATTCGGAATTCTAATAAGTGATTATGAAAAACTGAGTAGCTATTTAAATAGCTCACAATTCATAATCATATATAAATATATGAAAATAGAGGGTGTTATTGTGTTAATCTTATGTTGATGAAATACATGATAGTAAATTAGTATTTAAATGTAACATTAGAAAATGCATAAATTATTAATTATAATTATGGGAGTTACATGCATTGAATGGAGAAAATATATCATACAATTTATATTATTTAGGTTACAATTTAGTATTAAAGGGTGGATTAATGTATATGATTAAATGGGTTATATTTGTTGTTTGATTAGGGATAAATAAAGCCAATTTTATTAAATAGCATAAGAATTACAGTTTTATTTTAAGGAATTAAATATGATAATATACAATTAGAATTTAATGATAGTTTTGTAAAAATATAATTTTAATACTATTAATATTTATGTTTGAAAAAAAAACATTTATGTTTGAAAAACTATATGCCATGTCGTTCTCTCTTGAACGATCTCCAAACCAATTGTTGGTTTGGGTTGTTCGTGAATAGACTCAAGAATTTGAACCACCCATCTATACAATAATTGTCACACTGTAAAAAAAATAAAACTATATTATTTTTAACTATACTTCATATCCATTGTCAAACTATCTATTTTTGAATTAGACTCTTTTCATTCCCATTTTTTTTTGTGCAATAAATTTTTCATTAATAACTATAAACGAAAGATAGATAATCAAATTTTTGTGCGTTGGAAACAATATAAAAATAAACAAACACAAACTAAACCTAGAAAGAATGACATCTTACCTCGAATATTTTAACTGACTTTAAGATAGTCACCACCTTAACATATGACTTTCGAAAATATTAAAAAATATCCAGATCTACAAACATAACATAAGAAAGAACTGACCAAAAAAAAGAATACGCAAAAAAGAAGAAAAGAAGATTAGAAACTATTAAGTGAATAGAAAAATGTTACAAAATTTGTGGGGCTTGAAATGTGATGGTTAGTATTGAACATGTCGTACTATTTATAAAAAATTATATTGTCAAAACAATAATAAATTGCTTTAAATATTATATATGTGAATAAAATTAATTGTAGTTTTAGCATCATGAGCTACGTTACATTTGTAGAATTAAATGTGTTATACAGTAATAGCATTTACCTTTGTATGTAGTCTACCTACATGCTAACGACAATGAAAGGTATTTGATTGAATATTAACTGTAGTTTTCAATTAGACATAAAATTAAGTATCACACGTTACAGCTTTGTCATTTTTGGGCTAACTTTTTTTTTGGTGTAATTTAAAGTGAGTTGTGTATTATTTCTGAGTGATATATCAAAAATAATCTAAGGACACTTAATAATCTTTCTTAGCAGTTACATGTGTATTAATGTCATGGGAGTTTTTTCTGTGTGTTTTTGCCTTTTTGGTCAAATATGATGGGAGTTATGGTTACATTTTAAAGAATTAATATGCCAATAATAGGAATTAATGTTTAAACAAAACACATTTTCTTTCATGCATTTAAATAAACATATATAATTGATTATGTGATTAACATTATCTTATTTGGTATATTTTGAATAATTTCTTGTTTATGAGATTTCAATTCTTGAATTAGTTTTTTTCTTACACATGTTCTTTAAATTTTGAATATCTTATGCAGTATAAACTAATTCTAAAATAGATTAGCTGTTGTAGTAATTATTTTTTAGACCATTGATATAATAGAAATTATTATTAGACGATCCCAAAAGAATAGAATAGAATATATTATTGTGAAATAATTTAATGTTTTATTTATTATTATTATGATGATAAAATATAAACAAATATATATGAAGCCAAAAAAATAATCTAAGGAACAAATATATAAAATTATAGGAAAATATGGTATATGAAGCCAAAAAATATATAAATGATTTACACTAATATGGCATAAAGTTGGTCTTTACATATACACTGTAGATAATAAATTGTATCAAAGAAAAAATTCTAAGATTTTAGTGTAGATAATAAATTGTATGAAAGAACAAATTCTATGATTCCAATATTTTTAATTATTTTTGCATTTAAACTTTTTATATATTTTAATTGGTGTATATATATATAAATGTAGGGATATTAAAGAAGTGGTATGAAAGAAAATTTTTCCTATTAAATGTCATAATAAAAAAAAATATGTGCCACATGTCGTAAGAAGAAAGTGACAAATGTCGTGATAATAGGGCTCCTTACAGAAAAACCTTGTTTTATTATATAAGATATGTCTAATCACATTGAAAAACATATGTTTACACAATAACAATAAAGAAGACAGCACACAAAGATAGAAAGAAAAAGAAGAAGCCATTTATAACGTTAGAAAAAAGCTATGTGTACAAAAGAAAAAGAAAAAGAGAGACAAAACAGATCTTAAGGAAAAGTTTTTTGTTATATTCACATTCATGTTTCCTTCATTCTACCAATTTGGACTCATTGTAGTTTCCCCTTTATCTTCTTGATACCTTATCCTCCCACTTGCCTTTGCTTTGTTCACATCACAATTCACATTGCACATAAATATAACCAAAAAATAAACCACTTAATTTTTGTTTGGAATTACGTTATACATCGCTAGGGTATACATTCGGGATACGGACTACTCACCCCGTGTTGGACATAAACTGCTCTGCCATGGGCGGATTAAAGATGTAATTTATCATGTCAAAAAACCGGATCTTGAGGGTTATCCCACCGTGTACAGCGGTTTCAAACGGACAAACTCTTCCGCTTTGACACCCCTAGATATCATGGATATTTCTGATTATTTAGAAAGTTTCTTTTGCTTAACCCCTCCTAACCCATATACAATACAATGTCAATAAAACGTTTTGTTCAACTTAAATAACAAAACTACTAGTCTATAAAACCTCTTTTGAATTCGTTTATTGTTTTTGAACCTCGGTTTTGAGTGATTTGATATCAAAATAAATGGGCCTACGATGGAATAAACTAGGTCTGGACAGTTGTGGAACATATATGGGCTCTTATAATGGTCCAATAAATTCTTTCCTGAGCCACAAGAAGAGAATTTGCCACTACAGAAGAGCCAAGAGATCTTGTGATTACAAAAAAGCCTAACCACACTTGAAATCAACAAAACCAAACAAAACTTAACCACAGTGATTGAAAATAAAAACGAGAAGAAAAGAACAATATTTGCATCAGATGAGCTCAGAAAATTCCAACACTTTGCCTCCAAATTCTTATCCTTTTACTGATAGTATCGAAACCTAGAAGATCATATGAGAGCAACAATTATCTCTTCTCTTCATAGTTTTTCTCGTTATGTCTTTTATCAAAATGCATCCGAGTATCAACACGTGTAGACAAGTTTGATCCCTGGTCTTAACCACGAGCCATCATCACGTCCAAGTGGTCCAAACTTCTGTCACCTGAAGACTTATCTCTTCCGTATGTTTTCCTCTGTTGGCTTCTGTAGAATCTGTCTTCTTTCTTCTGTAGATGATGTTCACTAGTAGCCACTTGGTGAAGATGTAGCATAGCGACCATGCTAATGGCGAATATAGCAGCGTTTCCAAGTACACCTTTCACATGGTTGAATCCAAGTGCTCTTTTTGCAAACCCGAAAGTTGAGGCAAAGGCGTTGATCACAAAGTTTGACTTTATTCCACCAGGAGTAGAGTTTGCTCCGTCTGGGTTTGGAGAGGAATCGTAGAGGTGATCAGGTGAAACGTAATGCGAGGTGGTTTTAATGCTTCCAACAAATTGAAGAGCTTCCTCTAAGACTCCATAGTTCTTGCCGTGGTGTTCAGCCAATCTCATTGCTAGTAATATCCTGCTCTGCTCAAGCCGAGCAATTGCAAGATCTCTCTCTGCTCGTTGCTGTGTATGTATAGTCTGCAGAGCAAAGAGAAAGAACTTTCACATATTGTCTTTCAGGTTCAGATGGTAAACGAGACATATGAGACTGACCAGCACTCTATGAGTAGCAAAGAAATTAGGAATTCAATAAAAACATTTTCAAAGCCTTGTATGCCGTTTTGTGGAATTATTCACTCTTGCAATGTTTTACTGTCTACTGCGTTTTTAACGACCTCAAGTCTATATAAAATATGATTTCGTAATTCCACGAACTACACGTGTCTTATTTATAAGTCATTCTCATGAATAGTAGTAGTAATTAAAATTAGACTAGAATTCGGGAGACGACATGAACTTTTTTTTCGAGTGATCATATTGTTTAGCCACCGTGACGTGTGTGAGTCTGATCTTAATTCTGCTGCGACAGAACCCTTGGGATGCCGGATTCTAACGCTTATGTCGAGGCAGAAATTAGGAATTCAATAAAAACACTTTCAAATCCTTGTATGCCGTTTTGTGGAATTATTCACTCTTGCAATGTTTTACTGTCTACTATGTTTTTAACGACCTCAAGTGTATATAAAATATGTTTTCGTAATCCCACGAACTACACGTGTCTTATCTATAAGTCATTCTCATGAATAGTAGTTGTAATTAAAATTAGACTAGAATTCGGGAGACGACATGAACTTGTTTTCGAGTGATCATATTGTTTAGCCACCGTGACGTGTGTGAGTCTGATCGCAATTATGCTGCGACAAAACCCTTGGGATGCCGGATTCTAACCCTTATGTCGAGCCAGAAATTAGGAATTCAATAAAAACACTTTCAAAGCCTTGTATGCCGTTTTGTGGGAATATTCACTCTTGCAATGTTTTACTGTATACTGTATTTTTAACGACCTCAAGTCTATATAAAATATGTTTTTATAATTCCACGAACTACACGTGTCTTATTTATAAGTCATTCTCATGAATAGTAGTAGTAATTATAATTAGACTAGAATTCGGGAGACGACATGAACGTTTTTTTCGAGTGATCATATTGTTTAGCCACCGTGATGTGTGTGAGTCTGATCTTAATTCTGCTGCGACAGAACCCTTGGGATGCCGGATTCTAACGCTTATGTCGAAGCAGAAATTAGGAATTCAATAAAAACACTTTCAAAGCCTTGTATGCCGTTTTGTGGAATTATTCACTCTTGCAATGTTTTACTTTCTACTATGTTTTTAACGACCTCAAGTGTATATAAAATATGTTTTCGTAATTCCACGAACTACACGTGTCTTATTTATAAGTCATTCTCATGAATAGTTGTTGTAATTAAAATTAGACTAGAATTCGGGAGACGACATGAACTTTTTTTCGAGTGATCATATTGTTTAGCCACCGTGACGTGTGTGAGTCTGATCGCAATTATGATGCGAGAGAACCCTTGGGATGCCGGATTCTAACCCTTATGTCGAGCCAGAAATTAGGAATTCAATAAAAACACTTTCAAAGCCTTGTATGCCGTTTTGTGGGAATATTCACTCTTGCAATGTTTTACTGTCTACTGTGTTTTTAACGACCTCAAGTGTATATAAAATATATTTTTGTAATTCCACGAAATACACATGTCTTATTTATAAGTCATTCTCATGAATAGTAATAGTAATTAAAATTAGACTAGAATTCGGGAGACGACATGAACTTTTTTCTAGTGATCATATTGTTTAGCCACCGTGACGTGTGTGAGTCTGATCTCAATTATGCTGCGACAGAACCCTTGGGATGCCGGATTCTAACCCTTATGTCAAGCTAGAAATTAGGAATTCAATAAAAACACTTTCAAAGCCTTTTATGCCGATTTGTGGGAATATTCACTCTTGCAATGTTTTATTTTCTATTGTGTTTTTAACGACCTCAAGTCTATATAAAATATGATTTCGTAATTCCACGAACTACACGTATCTTATTTATAAGCCATTCTCATGAATAGTAGTAGTAATTATAATTAGACTAGAATTCGGGAGACGACATGAACTTTTTTTTCGAGTGATCATATTGTTTAGCCACCGTGACGTGTGTGAGTCTATCTTCTCCAAATCGAGCCACCGTGACGTGTGTGAGTCGATCTAGTGTTAAATTTTTTGTTGTCGGTTAAATAAATATAGATCCAGGTCTCTGCGATTCCCTAGTTGTACCACAACTTAGTTGTACCAGAATATTTCCGAATATTCCCTAGTTGTACCAGTTACAACCCGTATAAAAGGATTCGAACCCTGGGGGCGCGCGCGTGCGCATGGAGCTCGCAACCACTGAGCTATTGTGTTTTTCGTTGAACACTTACCGATTTAATTGTATTTAACCCTTATCACCCGAAATCAACCCTCATTAAAGGTAATTTTGTCTTTCTACCATTGAGGAGTATTTGAGACTAAATTTGGAGCTTGAGGAGCCCCTGAGAATTTGTTCCCATATCCCCAATCTATCTTCTCCAAATCAATTTCACGGTTTCGTCGATCTAGTGTTAAATGTAGATCCAGGTCTTTTGCGAGCCATGAAACGCAAGGAAGAAGCTGCGAAGGACAGGTGCTGCAGCAGCTTAGAACCGATCCATCTCGATTTAAAGCAGACTAGGTTTCCTGCGAAGTTTCTGATGAAGACACACCAAAAGAAACTCCTTTGCCGAGTCGAATCCCTGGTTTTGTTGGGAACTGCCATCAAGCGCGAGGTTGATCAGAAAGACAAGCTAGATCCGATCCCTTTCGATGTAGAGGTGGAGATACTGACTAGATTGCCGGCAAAGTCTCTGATGAAGTTCCAATACGTGTCCAAGATGTGGTCTTTCATCATCCGAAGCCAGAGATTCGTGGATTCCTACTATGCTTTGTCCTCGACGCGATCGCGTTTTATAGTCACTTTCAGTAACGGTTTATTCGCCGAGGATGATGCCAGGCGTTTGTTCATCTTCTCCTCTTCGTACGAGGAAGAGAAATCTTCTTCTTTAGTTGTCAAGCTTGACATTACAATACCTTTTGTGACCATGGATTACCGCTCCAAATGCCCTTCCATCCACGGCTTTGTCAGTTGTTGTAATGGCCCTCAGTTCATTGTATGTAACCCCAGCACGAGGCAAGTCATTACCTTACCCATTAAAGGACCCCGCGCTTCCTTGGGATATGATCCTGTTGGTGAACAATTCAAAGTGTTGAATCTGGTGTCGTCTCCTGACATGTATCTTGGTTTTCTAGTGCACGAGGTTATAACACTTGGAGGAGGAGGAGAAGAATCACGCAATCAGGTTACTACCGCTCCTTATTACCCTGTAACCAAGGGACTTTACATCAATGGTTCCATCTATCATGGTGCTTGGGCCCCTAGACTAAGAATGGATCCGGTGATTGTGTGTTTTGATGTTAGATATGAGAGCCTAAGTTTTATCAAAGTGCCTAGGCTTGTTGTGGTTTGGGAGCGTGAATCAATATTGATAGATTACAAAGGGAAGTTAGCTTCGATTGCAATAAACCCATATGCTCCTTTCCAAATTTTTTATTTATGGATATTAGAAGATGTCAACAAACATGATTGGTCCAAGCAAACATTTGAGCTTCCCTTCTCTTTGGTCAATATGACTTCCCCGGGCACCAACAAGGCTGGGGAAATCATTTTTGCCCCAAAGACTCTCCCACCCACTGTTCAACCCTTCTTCATTTTCTACTACAATGTAGAAACAAAAGACCTCAGAAGAGTTAGCCTCCATGGAATTGCAGACGATAAAGAGTTTTGGCGCCGATATGGACTCAGACACAATATGTGCGTCTCTATCTCACCAGAACATGTTGAAAGTATTGCCTCTTTGTAATGTTTTTTATTTTCTTTTCTTCTTTTTCTTTAAGGGCCTTTATGTAAGAGCTTGGCAGCCTCTGCTTTGTTCTTTTTTTTCTTCTTTTTATCAATATTTAAGCCTTGGCTCTTGAACACCAAAAGCAAACTAGTTTGTTATCTTACCACTGATTTATTGCATTTTCTGACATGTTTATTTTTGAAATTGCAGCAACAGGAGAATGAGGTTCATCCTCATGGAAACGTGGTGGGAATTGATGATGTTGTTGATCAGGAGGTGGAGCACCATCAGATTCATGGAGACGTTGTGGAGCAAATTGTCAATAACCAGGTAATAGAAAAAAACCTTATCAGAGATTTTGTTGGATGATTTTGATAATCTGTAATTTACTTTTTGAAATTGCAGCAACAGGAGAATGAGGTTCATGCTCATGGAAACGTGGTGGGAATTGATGATGTTGTTGATCAGGAGGTGGAGCACCATCAGATTCATGGAGACGTTGTGGAGCAAATTGTCAATAACCAGGTAATAGAAAAAAACCTTATCTGAGATTTTGTTGGATGATTTTGATAATCTGTAATTTACTTTTTGAAATTGCAGCAACAGGAGAATGAGGTTCATGCTCATGGAAACGTGGTGGGAGTTGATCATGTTGTTGATCAGGAGGTGGAGCACCATCAGATTCATGGAGACGTTGTGGAGCAAATTGTCAATAACCAGGTAATAAAAAAAAAACTTATCTGAGATTTTGTTGGATGATTTTGATAATATGTAATTTACTTTTTGAAATTGCAGCAACAGGAGAATGAGGTTCATGCTCATGGAAACGTGGTGGGAGTTGATCATGTTGTTGATCCAGAGGTGGAGCAACATCAGATTCATGGAGACGTTGTGGAGCAAATTGTCAATAACCAGGTAAAACAAATATACCTTATCTGAGATTTTGTAGGATTATTTTGATAATCTGTAATTTACTTTTTGAAATTGCAGCAACAGGAGAATGAGGTTCATGCTCATGGAAACGTGGTGGGAGTTGATCATGTTGTTGATCAGGAGGTGGAGCACCATCAGATTCATGGAGACGTTGTGGAGCAAATTGTCAATAACCAGGTAAAACAAATATACCTTATCTGAGATTTTGTAGGATTATTTTGATAATCTGTAATTTACTTTTTGAAATTGCAGCAACAGGAGAATGAGGTTCATGCTCATGGAAACGTGGTGGGAGTTGATCATGTTGTTGATCAGGAGGTGGAGCACCATCAGATTCATGGAGACGTTGTGGAGCAAATTGTCAATAACCAGGTAATAGAAAAAAACCTTATCTGAGATTTTGTTGGATGATTCTGATAATCTGTAATTTACTTTTTGAAATTGCAGCAACAGGAGAATGAGGTTCATGCTCATGGAAACGTGGTGGGAGTTGATCATGTTGTTGATCAGGAGGTGGAGCACCATCAGATTCATGCAGACGTTGTGGAGCAAATTGTCAATAACAAGGTAATAAAAAAAAACGTTCTCTGAGATTTTGTTGGATGATTTTGATAATATGTAATTTACTTTTTGAAATTGCAGCAACAGGAGAATGAGGTTCATGCTCATGGAAACGTGGTGGGAGTTGATCATGTTGTTGATCAGGAGGTGGAGCACCATCAGATTCATGGAGACGTTGTGGAGCAAATTGTCAATAACCAGGTAAAACAAATATACCTTATCTGAGATTTTGTAGGATTATTTTGATAATCTGTAATTTACTTTTTGAAATTGCAGCAACAGGAGAATGAGGTTCATGCTCATGGAAACGTGGTGGGAGTTGATCATGTTGTTGATCAGGAGGTGGAGCACCATCAGATTCATGGAGACGTTGTGGAGTAAATTGTCAATAACCAGGTAATAGAAAAAAACCTTATCTGAGATTTTGTAGGATTATTTTGATAATCTGTAATTTACTTTTTGAAATTGCAGCAACAGGAGAATGAGGTTCATGCTCATGGAAACGTGGTGGGAGTTGATCATGTTGTTGATCAGGAGGTGGAGCACCATCAGATTCATGGAGACGTTGTGGAGCAAATTGTCAATAACCAGGTAATAGAAAAAAACCTTATCTGAGATTTTGTTGGATGATTTTGATAATCTGTAATTTACTTTTTGAAATTGCAGCAATAGGAGAATGAGGTTCATGCTCATGGAAACGTGGTAGGAATTGATGATGTTGTTGATCAGGAGGTGGAGCACCAACAGATTCATGGAGACGTTGTGGAGCAAATTGTCAATAACCAGGTAATAGAAAAAAACCTTTTCTGAGATTTTGTTGGATGATTTTGATAATCTGTAATTTACTTTTTGAAATTGCAGCAACAGGAGAATGAGGTTCATGCTCATGGAAACGTGGTGGGAGTTGATCATGTTGTTGATCAGGAGGTGGAGCACCATCAGATTCATGGAGACGTTGTGGAGCAAATTGTCAATAACTAGGTAATAGAAAAAAACTTTATCTGTGATTTTGTTGGATGATTTTGATAATCTGTAATTTACTTTTTGATATTGCAGCAACAGGAGAATGAGGTTCATGCTCATGGAAACGTGGTGGGAGTTGATCATGTTGTTGATCAGGAGGTGGAGCACCATCAGATTCATGGAGACGTTGTGGAGCAAATTGTCAATAACCAGGTAATAGAAAAAAACCTTATATGAGATTTTGTTGGATGATTTTGATAATATGTAATTTACTTTTTGAAATTGCAGCAACAGGAGAATGAGGTTCATGCTCATGGAAACGTGGTGGGAGTTGATCATGTTGTTGATCAGGAGGTGGAGCACCATCAGATTCAAGGAGACGTTGTGGAGCAAATTGTCAATAACTAGGTAATAGAAAAAAACCTTATCTGAGATTTTGTTGGATGATTTTGATAATCTGTAATTTACTTTTTGAAATTGCAGCAACAGGAGAATGAGAATGAGGTTCATTCTCATGGAAACGTGGTGGGAGTTGATCATGTTGTTGATAAGGAGGTGGAGCACCATCAGATTCATGGAGACGTTGTGGAGTAAATTGTCAATAACCAGGTAAAACAAAAACCTTATCTGAGATTTTGTTGGATGATTTTGATAATCTGTAATTTACTTTTTGAAATTGCAGCAACAGGAGAATGAGGTTCATGCTCATGGAAACGTGGTGGGAGTTGATCATGTTGTTGATCAGGAGGTGGAGCACCATCAGATTCATGGAGACGTTGTGGAGTAAATTATCAATAACCAGGTAAAACAAAAATACCTTATCTGAGATTTTGTAGGATTATTTTGATAATCTGTAATTTACTTTTTGAAATTGCAGCAACAGGAGAATGAGGTTCATGCTCATGGAAACGTGGTGGGAGTTGATCATATTGTTGATGAGGTGGTGGAGCACCATCAGATTCATGGAGACGTTGTGGAGCAAATTGTCAATAACCAGGTAATAGAAAAAAACCTTATCTGAGATTTTGTTGGATGATTTTGATAATCTGTAATTTACTTTTTGAAATTGCAGCAACAGGAGAATGAGGTTCATCCTCATGGAAACGTGGTGGGAATTGATGATGTTGTTGATCAGGAGGTGGAGCACCATCAGATTCATGGAGACGTTGTGGAGCAAATTGTCAATAACCAGGTAATAGAAAAAAACCTTATCAGAGATTTTGTTGGATGATTTTGATAATCTGTAATTTACTTTTTGAAATTGCAGCAACAGGAGAATGAGGTTCATGCTCATGGAAACGTGGTGGGAATTGATGATGTTGTTGATCAGGAGGTGGAGCACCATCAGATTCATGGAGACGTTGTGGAGCAAATTGTCAATAACCAGGTAATAGAAAAAAACCTTATCTGAGATTTTGTTGGATGATTTTGATAATCTGTAATTTACTTTTTGAAATTGCAGCAACAGGAGAATGAGGTTCATGCTCATGGAAACGTGGTGGGAGTTGATCATGTTGTTGATCAGGAGGTAGAGCACCATCAGATTCATGGAGACGTTGTGGAGCAAATTGTCAATAACCAGGTAATAAAAAAAAACCTTATCTGAGATTTTGTTGGATGATTTTGATAATATGTAATTTACTTTTTGAAATTGCAGCAACAGGAGAATGAGGTTCATGCTCATGGAAACGTGGTGGGAGTTGATCATGTTGTTGATCCAGAGGTGGAGCAACATCAGATTCATGGAGACGTTGTGGAGCAAATTGTCAATAACCAGGTAAAACAAATATACCTTATCTGAGATTTTGTAGGATTATTTTGATAATCTGTAATTTACTTTTTGAAATTTCAGCAACAGGAGAATGAGGTTCATGCTCATGGAAACGTGGTGGGAGTTGATCATGTTGTTGATCAGGAGGTGGAGCACCATCAGATTCATGGAGACGTTGTGGAGCAAATTGTCAATAACCAGGTAATAGAAAAAATCCTTATCTGAGATTTTGTTGGATGATTTTGATAATCTGTAATTTACTTTTTGAAATTGCAGCAACAGGAGAATGAGGTTCATGCTCATGGAAACGTGGTGGGAGTTGATCATGTTGTTGATCAGGAGGTGGAGCACCATCAGATTCATGGAGACGTTGTGGAGCAAATTGTCAATAACCAGGTAATAAAAAAAAAAACCTTCTCTGAGATTTTGTTGGATGATTTTGATAATATGTAATTTACTTTTTGAAATTGCAGCAACAGGAGAATGAGGTTCATGCTCATGGAAACGTGGTGGGAATTGATGATGTTGTTGATCAGGAGGTGGAGCACCATCAGATTCATGGAGACGTTGTGGAGCAAATTGTCAATAACCAGGTAATAGAAAAAAACCTTATCAGAGATTTTGTTGGATGATTTTGATAATCTGTAATTTACTTTTTGAAATTGCAGCAACAGGAGAATGAGGTTCATGCTCATGGAAACGTGGTGGGAATTGATGATGTTGTTGATCAGGAGGTGGAGCACCATCAGATTCATGGAGACGTTGTGGAGCAAATTGTCAATAACCAGGTAATAGAAAAAAACCTTATCTGAGATTTTGTTGGATGATTTTGATAATCTGTAATTTACTTTTTGAAATTGCAGCAACAGGAGAATGAGGTTCATGCTCATGGAAACGTGGTGGGAGTTGATCATGTTGTTGATCAGGAGGTGGAGCACCATCAGATTCATGGAGACGTTGTGGAGCAAATTGTCAATAACCAGGTAATAAAAAAAAACCTTATCTGAGATTTTGTTGGATGATTTTGATAATATGTAATTTACTTTTTGAAATTGCAGCAACAGGAGAATGAGGTTCATGCTCATGGAAACGTGGTGGGAGTTGATCATGTTGTTGATCCAGAGGTGGAGCAACATCAGATTCATGGAGACGTTGTGGAGCAAATTGTCAATAACCAGGTAAAACAAATATACCTTATCTGAGATTTTGTAGGATTATTTTGATAATTTGTAATTTACTTTTTGAAATTGCAGCAACAGGAGAATGAGGTTCATGCTCATGGAAACGTGGTGGGAGTTGATCATGTTGTTGATCAGGAGGTGGAGCACCATCAGATTCATGGAGACGTTGTGGAGCAAATTGTCAATAACCACGTAAAACAAATATACCTTATCTGAGATTTTGTAGGATTATTTTGATAATCTGTAATTTACTTTTTGAAATTGCAGCAACAGGAGAATGAGGTTCATGCTCATGGAAACGTGGTGGGAGTTGATTATGTTGTTGATCAGGAGGTGGAGCACCATCAGATTCATGGAGACGTTGTGGAGCAAATTGTCAATAACCAGGTAATAGAAAAAAACCTTATCTGAGATTTTGTTGGATGATTTTGATAATATGTAATTTACTTTTTGAAATTGCAGCAACAGGAGAATGAGGTTCATGCTCATGGAAACGTGGTGGGAGTTGATCATGTTGTTGATCCAGAGGTGGAGCAACATCAGATTCATGGAGACGTTGTGGAGCAAATTGTCAATAACCAGGTAAAACAAATATACCTTATCTGAGATTTTGTAGGATTATTTTGATAATTTGTAATTTACTTTTTGAAATTGCAGCAACAGGAGAATGAGGTTCATGCTCATGGAAACGTGGTGGGAGTTGATCATGTTGTTGATCAGGAGGTGGAGCACCATCAGATTCATGGAGACGTTGTGGAGCAAATTGTCAATAACCAGGTAAAACAAATATACCTTATCTGAGATTTTGTAGGATTATTTTGATAATCTGTAATTTACTTTTTGAAATTGCAGCAACAGGAGAATGAGGTTCATGCTCATGGAAACGTGGTGGGAGTTGATCATGTTGTTGATCAGGAGGTGGAGCACCATCAGATTCATGGAGACGTTGTGGAGCAAATTGTCAATAACAAGGTAATAGAAAAAAACCTTATCTGAGATTTTGTTGGATGATTTTGATAATCTGTAATTTACTTTTTGAAATTGCAGCAACAGGAGAATGAGGTTCATGCTCATGGAAACGTGGTGGGAGTTGATCATGTTGTTGATCAGGAGGTGGAGCACCATCAGATTCATGGAGACGTTGTGGAGCAAATTGTCAATAACCAGGTAATAAAAAAAAACCTTATCTGAGATTTTGTTGGATGATTTTGATAATATGTAATTTACTTTTTGAAATTGCAGCAACATGAGAATGAGGTTCATGCTCATGGAAACGTGGTGGGAGTTGATCATGTTGTTGATCCAGAGGTGGAGCAACATCAGATTCATGGAGACGTTGTGGAGCAAATTGTTAATAACCAGGTAAAACAAATATACCTTATCTGAGATTTTGTAGGATTATTTTGATAATCTGTAATTTACTTTTTGAAATTGCAGCAACAGGAGAATGAGGTTCATGCTCATGGAAACGTGGTGGGAGTTGATCATGTTGTTGATCAGGAGGTGGAGCACCATCAGATTCATGGAGACGTTGTGGAGTAAATTGTCAATAACCAGGTAATAGAAAAAAACCTTATCTGAGATTTTGTAGGATTATTTTGATAATCTGTAATTTACTTTTTGAAATTGCAGCAACAGGAGAATGAGGTTCATGCTCATGGAAACGTGGTGGGAGTTGATCATGTTGTTGATCAGGAGGTGGAGCACCATCAAATTCATGGAGACGTTGTGGAGCAAATTGTCAATAACCAGGTAATAGAAAAAAACCTTATCTGAGATTTTGTTGGATGATTTTGATAATCTGTAATTTACTTTTTGAAATTGCAGCAACAGGAGAATGAGGTTCATGCTCATGGAAACGTGGTGGGAGTTGATCATGTTGTTGATCCAGAGGTGGAGCACCATCAGATTCATGGAGACGTTGTGGAGCAAATTGTCAATAACCAGGTAAAACAAAAATACCTTATTTGAGATTTTGTAGGATTATTTTGATAATCTGTAATTTACTTTTTGAAATTGCAACAACAGGGGAATGAGGTTCATGCTCATGGAAACGTGGTGAGAATTGATGATCTTGTTGATCAGGAGGTGGAGCACCATCAGATTCATGGAGAGCAAATTGTCAATAACCAGGTAAAACAAAAATACCTAGTTGAGATTTTGTAGGATGTTTTTGATATAGATTGATGAAACTCTGAGAATTTATTTGATAATGATAATATGAGATTTATTTTTGAATTGTAGAATCAGGCTCATGGAATCGTGGATGACTGGTATGACATTTTCGGCCATCTTGGGGTAATTCTCCATTTTTCACATACATATTTTTTTTTAGGTATTGTTTCAAACTAACATTTAATTTTGACGTGCAGGATATTTGAACCAAGTTGAGGAGTTTTTAAAGTGTTTTGAGCTTGAAGACTTTTAGCTAATATTGCTTGGATTTAGTTTGTATTTCAGACTAGTCTCGTCCTATCTTTAGTATATTGCCTCTGTTTTCTTGTTGGTGTTAACTCATTTCAATTTTTTTTTTTTTTTTTTTTTTTTTTTTTTTTTTTAACCCATTTCAGTTTTAGATGCTCTCACTACACAAAAATATATTTAAAAAACTCTTTTGTTATTTGTAAAACTTTTCAGAACAGCCAAATGTTATCATCTAACAACCGGTCATATTTCTTTATTGTTTTGTTTGTTTGTTTATGGTTAAGATATGCTGAGATTTTTATGAGTTCTCGTAGATATATAGAAAATACTGGCGAAAAAAAGGAAAAAGAAAAATCCCTTTCAAGTTAAAACATCTTTTGGATTCGTTTATTGTTTTTGAACCTCGGGTTTGAGTGATCTGATATCAAATTAAATGGGCCTACGATGGAATAAACTAGGTCTGGACAGTTGTGGAACATATATGGGCTCTTATAATGGAACAAAAAAGCCTAACCACACTTGAAATCAACAAAACCAAACAAAACAAACAAAACTTTATAACCACAGTGATTGAAAATCAAAACGAGAAGAAAAGAACAATATTTGCATCAGATGAGCTCAGAAAATTCCAACACTTTGCCTCCAAATTCTTATCCCTTTACTGATAATATCGAAACCTAGAAGATCGTATGAGAGAGCAAACAATTATCTCTTCTCTTCTTAGTTTTTCTCGTTATGTCTTTTATCAAAATGCATCCGAGTATCAACACGTGTAGACAAGTTTGATCCCTGGTCTTAACCACGAGCCATCATCACATCCAAGTGGTCCAAACTTCTGTCACCTGAAGACTTATCTCTTCCGTATGTTTTCCTCTGTTGGCTTCTGTAGAATCTGTCTTCTTTCTTCTGTAGATGATGTTCACTAGTAGCCACTTGGTGAAGATGTAGCATAGCGACCATGCTAATGGCAAATATAGCAGCGTTTCCAAGTACACCTTTCACATGGTTGAATCCAAGTGCTCTTTTTGCAAACCCGAAAGTTGAGGCAAAGGCGTTGATCACAAAGTTTGACTTTATTCCACCAGGAGTAGAGTTTGCTCCGTCTGGGTTTGGAGAGGAATCGTAGAGGTGATCAGGTGAAACGTAATGCGAGGTGGTTTTAATGCTCCCAACAAATGCAAGAGCTTCCTCTAAGACTCCATAATTCTTGCCGTGGTGTTCAGCCAATCTCATTGCTAGTAATATCCTGCTCTGTTCAAGCCGAGCAATTGCAAGATCTCTCTCTGTTCGTTGCTGTGTATGTATAGTCTGCAGAGCAAAGAGAAAGAAGTTTTACATATTGTCTTTCAGGTTCAGTTGGTAAACGAGACATATGAGACTCACCAGTACTCTATGAGTGGCAAAGAGAAAGAACAAATAAATCTCCTATATATGCAAAATAGCTTGTGTATTCTTCTTCTTCATTGGTCTATCTATATAAAGGCAATGATAAATACACATGCGTCTATAATGTGTTGCGAAATGGATTCTTCATATCTATCCTACTTCTTCTGATCTTACATAAGACTATAGCATTCTTCATGCACATATATACAACACCTGAATCTAGATTCATCTCCCTGCTTTCAATTCAGGAACAAAGAGTGTGAAATAAACAATGCTCAGAACTACATTGTATGATGATTATATGTCTAAAAGAAGGAAAAACTATTGACATAAACTCCATATAGAAGAAACAATTGACAATTTTGCTCAGAATTAAGTCTGCTCTTGTTGCTCAGAATTTTCATAAGATTCTGATAATTACTATCAAATTCAGAACCTAAATGCCTATTAGTAAACCTAAACCCTAACTAAACACACCTCAATCAATTTTTACCCTAAATTGCCTCAAATCGGCTTAGTCATGAGCTACTTCTTCAGAAGCAGATACAATCGATAACGTACTTGAATAGTCATTTAGCAGAAGGATTTGCTTAACCATCTTCAAAAATTAGCACAAAACCTACGAGATAACAAGCTAATCTCCCAATTCCACAACAATTTCGTCTCTCAATTTCGCTTCATATCAAGGAATCGAAATACACAAAATCAAATCGAGATAAACGAAACTTACATGGAAAAACTCAAGCTGGTCTTCAAGGTTCTCAAGAGCGGTTCGAATTGCGTTGAGACTCTTCGCCTCTTGAATCGTGGAGTCGTTATCATCGACGGCGAATCCTTTGATGAAAACATAACCTGGTCGCTTATCTTCGCCGGAATTTCCGTGAGGATTCTTCCTCTTCTCCGATCTATTAGAAGGTTTCACCGATTTGAGAAAGTGAGACTTCGAAATCAAGTGAATCTCATCGCTAAGCTTGTCATGTAGATCCCAGATTTTCTCAAGAACAGCTTCGATTTCTTCGATCTCCATTTCTCCCATTTCATTGACACACAAAAAAAGAGGGAAAAAAAAAGCAAAGAGAAAAAGGAAAAGTTCTTCTTCTTCTTCAGGAAAATTCTCACTTTAATTGTGGACTCAAATTAAGCGCTCCGATGAATTTGATTTCCGGATACGGGTAAAACCCGACCCGGAAACGCGAAAACAATAAAACATCTGACACGGACTATGCACGTGTCTAAAAGTTTGTTAGACTGTTTGGGCTTTACGAAGTTTCTGAGGCCCAAATTGGTCTCACTATTGCGTCGAAGAGTCACTGTCGCATAAGCAGCCACGTGGACTGTTGAAAGCCGACGTGTCAACTGTAAATTGTAACGGAATTATTGTTACTTTCCGTTTTCTTATTTAAACTAAAAAAAAAGTGTAATAGATAAGGCAAGCAGAGAAAGAAAGATCAAGAACTCTAAAACGGATGGGTTCAACAAAAGATGGTGCTAGTTTCACTAATATCTCTGTAGAGGAGCACTTTAGCGTCTCTCAATCTACTTCTTGTGGACAGGTAAATAGGTTAAAATGAAAAATTAGCGGCCACTAAGAGAGAATCGAATAGTTAAAAAAAGTAAGAAAGAACGTGAAACATAGAGTGGTAAAGATTTTGTACCGTTTTGTTGTTGTCCTTACCGCTTTAACTTACCGTTTTACCGATTGCTCATAATAGGAACGGTATATATATACCCTTTACCACGGTGATAAAATGTTAACAAACGCACCATGTATATTCAACAAAATATATAGATTTAGATTTCTTTGTTTACGTTTAAATTTTAGTTCATATAAAAGAACTTTTGACTTGAGATATGTTACGTACTCTTTTATGGTATAAATGGTAAAACATAAACGAATGTTAAAAAGGAAAATTGTGTTTAGTGTGCGTTTTTTTCAAAACATTAATTCTATGGGAAACTGATAACGTGTTATATTAAAAAAAAATTGTAAGATTTTAAATTATTGTCTCATGTAAACGTAACGTAAAGAAACTGTATTTGAAATCAATCGTGACCATATTGATATCGAATGATGTTCGATCTTTTTGAAACAGTATGCAGGCCCAACAGAACAAATATCCACAGCGGCTGAAGCACTTGTCGGGAGGTCGACGACATTGACAGAAGCTCTCAAAGCCGCGGCGATAAATGTCGGTCGCAAACCAGTAGAAACCACGGACGTGGCTGCCATAAAAGAGGTGGAAGCTAGGGCTATCGGAGGAGACGACATAGAAAGCCATGGTGGTGTAACTGCTGTAGCAATTAAGGCTGTTGCTCGTAACCAAAAAATAGGAAAAGAAAATGAGAAGACAAATCTCCGCGACGTTATTGCGGAGATTGATGTGAGAGTAACGAGAGATAGAGAAGTGACAAGTGAAGACGCAGAAGCAGTGGTTCAGGCTGAGCTCAATCATTCTCCTTTCAATAATATTATTCCTGGAGGTGTTGCTGAATCCGTCACTGCAGCTTATAAACTCAATTGCAATCCATGCAATATATCTCTTTGATATGCAATTTAAAATCATAACACAAGTATATAACGGTCCTGGTTTTTTTTTTTTTTTTTCTTTTTAGAGGAAGTTCAAAGCCAAAGTCAGTAGTCTCCTCTTACCGAGATCATCTTTTGATCCATCTTTTATAGGCATTTGAAGTCTGTAAGATTGTTATATAAATAGTCACAAAGAATAAGCTTAAACCCATAATTCCAACCATGGAACTACATTTTTTTTTTTTTTTGAACTACATTTTTTATGTCAAAAACATTGTCGTTAGCATATATACCTTCAAAAGGAACAAAAATATATGGAACTTTGCAAAAAGATTATGAATTGTCTTTTCTTCCAATATTGCTTAAAATCACCACGCTGCTCTAAATTTTTAATACATAGTAACATCAGCGTTGGTCTCACCAATGCATCGAAGGGTCACTGTCGCACAAGCAGCTAAATATGGACACGTGATCTGTTAAAAGTCTACGTGTCAAGTGAAGTTGTACGGGACCGTTATTATCGCCACATTCCGTTTTCTTATTTAGACCAAGTAAAAAAAAAAAAAAAGGTAATGCAAGCAAAGAAAGAAGATCGAAGAACTCTCAACTCTCAAGCTATGGGTTCATCAAAAGATGATGCTAGTGTCACCAACATCTCTGTAGAAGAGCATTTTAGCGTCTCTCAATCTAGTCCCGGTGGACAGGTATAGGTTTCAGGTTCTTTGTTTGCGTTAGCGTATTACGTTTACGTTTAATACAAAATAGCCAACTACCTATTGACAAAAAAAAAAAAAAAAATCAACTACCAAGTGTGTGGTAGACTAGTGGCGGTAGATTCGATCATTTTTGAAAGAATGTTTTTCTTTTATTCTCTTAAAATGGATGATTTACATTCAAAATGAGTATCACTTTTCTCATGTTAACAAAACAACAACACATATGTTTTTGAAACATTTGGGACCATATCAACTTCGAATGATATGAAACCTTTTGAAACAGTTTGTAGGCCCAACAGAAGAAATTTCCACGGCGGCGGAAGCACTTATCGGGAGATCGACAACATTAACGGACGCTCTCAAAGCAGCAGCCATGAATGTCGGCCACAAACCAGTGGAAACCACCGACGTAGCTGCCATAAAAGAGGTGGAAACAAGGGCTGTCGGAGACGACATAGAAGGTACTGGCGGTGGTGTAACCGCCGTGGCAAGTAAGGCGGTTGCTCGTAACAAAACAATAGGAAAAGAAAGTGAGAAGACAAATCTCCGCGACGTTATCGCGGAGATTGATGTGAAAGTAACGAGAGACAGAGAAGTGACAAGTGAAGACGCAGAAGCAGTGGTTCAGGCTGAGCTTAATCATTCTCCTTTCAAGAATATTATTCCTGGAGGTGTTGCTGAATCCGTCGCTGCAGCTTATAAACTTAATCACGATCCATCTCTTTGATATCATTTGCTATTTATTTAAAAACATATCTATAACGGTCTTGGTTTTTGTTTTTTTTTGTTAAAAACGGTCTTGGTTTTTGTTGCATAAATAATCACTAAAGAAGCTTAAAACCAGTGGCTGCAATTATAATTTTTTTTTATTCATGATGTTATAAACTTCTAAGCTCATCTCACTATACTTAAAAACGACCTCCACAATCAAACAAATTTTAACAATACAAATATGTTATTGACCAATATGACAGGATAGCGTTTAAAATCTTCCTCTTTCGGCGCCATTGCCTTTAATAATACTCACACAAATATATAGACCAATATGACAGGATAGCGTTTGAGACAGCTCGAGTAAACTAGTGATGAGAAGGTGGATTAAAGACATTGTGCGTCGATAAACCTAGAGGGAAAAAAGTGATGGAACCAATTAACGGAGCTGCCTCCATCTAAACTACATGGCGGATTTGTTAAGATGAGTTTGATTAGTATGTCGGAAGGTGGAAAAAGAGGAGATTATAACCAAGACATAGGAAATCTAGTGGTGTTTCGGCGATTCCTCCAAAAGAGGTTAAATCTTGAACCCCTTAGTTCTAACCGTAGCTTGTTTGAGAGAGGTGTTGATTCCTATGAACTCTAGAGACCTATATAGAATGGTTCAAAGACAGACCTTGACAAAGAGGAGCTTTTCGATGGCAGTTGCGATTTCGGAATCGCCTCTGACTTTGACTTTACCTAGGAGGACATGTTTTTCAAAATAAAATGTGGCATATATCATGCTAAGGTGTCAGCAACCATCAGCCGGAGATATGCCCTCCAAATGAGAATAGCTGTGTTTATTTTTTTCCCTTGAATAATAATTTTTATAATTACACAATTTCAATTGAACAAGAAGAAAAAAAAGTTACACAAATAATCCAACCAACAAAAACAGAACAAAGCATGAGGACCAAAACCTAATTTGATTTTCTACAAATCTCACGTCACAAACCAAAAAAAAAGAATTGTAACACAAAACACTAGGAAGAAACAAAACCATTGTGGAGGAAGAACAAAATGATCGGATCCATCACGTTAATGAATGAAATAAGTCAACGCCAAAGCCACCAACATTAGAACATACGCTATCCCCTGATCTATCGATGTTCCTGCCAAAAAAATCAAATCAAAACAATATCAATATCAATTTCTTGTTCTCCAAGATAGGGTTTCTTCTATTAATCAAAGATTTATCGTAAGATTACTACCGTCGCTGGTGGGTGCGGGAGCTGGCGAAGACGATTGAGCATGAGCAATCGGCAAAAGAATCACGGAGATGATGACGAAGACGGCGAGAATCTCCAACGGAAATTTCAGGGACGCCATTCTTTTATCTTTATCTCCGGTGATTATTCCGGCGAAGGAATCTTTTTTTGGTTTTTGTACAATCTCGCCAGAAAAATCAAGAAAAAAAGACCGATTGATGGAAGAACAGAGGAAGCTAAAGATTTGGTTAAATAGTAAAACATGGCACAGAGAATGTGGGGCCTAAACACACAAATCCTCTCTGTCTCAAACTCTAATCACTAGTTGGTTGATGCGTTGTCATTTTATTAATTAAAAAGATTTTATTATTAAATTAGAGGTTTAACGAGAGAAACGGTTAATTATGTTCTGTTTCTAAGCTGTGTCTGAGAAGGATTAAAGCAAAGAGAATCTCCAGCCTGGTTTTGATTTACTTTCCCGGTTTTGCAATCTTCCTTTTTTCGGAAGATCATTGTATCGGTACCTAATTTCAATTTGTGAGTTGTAATAACCCGGTTCAGAGCTAAACCGAACTAAACATTCACTAAAACACTCCATTAACAAAGATTCTAACCCGTTTTTTTTTTTTTTGTTAATTTCGATTCTACATAAGTTTATTGATTTGAACAGAAAAGTTCAATATCTTATACGTTTATAATTTTGTCTTTTTAACAAAAAATAATAATTTTGTCTTTCTATATTTAATTAAAAAAAGATTCATAAGGTATTTTTTTTTTCGATTCATAAGATTTTTAATTTCTACAATTAGAGTTTGCGGTAAACCAAAATTGTGATAACTTTTTACAACCAGTGATATAAGAATATGATATTACGTTTAAATGTATTAACATATTAAATATTCAATTCATTAAACCCCTATAGTATAATCGTAAGTCAAGATCATCCTTCCATTTAGAAAAAAAAAAAGAAGAAGCAAATTCAGTCCCAAATTGTAATTATAAACCAAATAACTCCGAACCAAACTGAATGATTTCCCAAAATATTTAAAATATAATTATATACCCAAAAATTTATTTAGTTTGGGATAATTTACGGATATTCGGTAAAAAAAATTTTGGTTCGTTTTGGTTAGTTCATGTATTTTCGAATAATAATTTATAACCAAACCGAAAACTTTCTGAAGATACTCTCTTTACAAAACGATTCGTCACTATTATCTAAACTAATCCAAACTGAATGGTATCCAAATACGAACCAAACCGACTTTTGTTCAGTTGATCTTAAACTTCTTATCCAAAAAACTGTAAAATGGAACCGAATTGAACGTCCATGCCCAGTGCCGGCCCTGTGAGATATGGGGCCCCATACAATTTTTTTTTTTTAATGGATTTTATAGAAATTTTTTTAAAATTTGAGATATTATCTTAAAAGTTTAGGAAACTTGGGGCCTATTTTGCAATAACAAATAAATAAAATTTAAATATTGAGACTAAATCTGAAATTTTTTGAAAAATGAGGCCTATATTTTGCAATATCAAATTTTTTTGGGGCCTAATTTTAAAAAGTTTGAGGCCCAATACTTTTGTTTTTTCAGAATTGGTGGCGGGCCGGGCCTGTCCATACCTAATTGATATTTTAAAATTAGACCTATTATAACATGGGAACAAGAAACGTGGAAAAAGTCTCGGTCTTAATTAGATTGATTTTTAATTAGGGTGCTTTGATTTTTTCCGTTAAGGGAGTTTTTTTTTTTTTAACGGCAAATCAATTATATTATATTATAACAGTGTTACATCATACATGATACATGAACCATTCAAATACACCCATTGAATCAAATAAAGGAAATTGAACACAATTTCGATAGTTTAGGGAGATAGTTTAGGGAGTTTTCATCTTTTTTTTTTATCTTTAATTTCTCGTAGGGCTAATACTAAAGTATATAATCAGGGACGAAAAGTTCGTACAAAATCGTTTCATATCACATATGTAAACAATATTACTCACAAATAGCTATTTTGAGCTCTAATTAATTTCGGATGACAAAAAAAAAATAGTTTAGAGAGTAAATATGTGCATCTATATATTTTCATAATTGAACTTTAAAATGACATTAAAAATGTAACAATCAAACATTAATTTTAGCAGCTCACATGAAACCATGATGAAACCAATCATTTATTAGATCTTCAATTCTGATTTATAGTCATTAGATACTCTTACTTCAAAGCAAAATACATTTATTCTCTTAACTAGGCTTTAAACTTAAAGTTAACGCAAAAGAGCAACCTTTTATTAGCCGAGAAGCTTCAACCATCCCAAGACCATTGCTGCTAACACAACATCATCTTTGTTCTTCTTCTTCTCTTCCATCTTCTTCTCTTCCTCCTTAAACCAAGTATCATACTCTTCATCTTCGTTCCTCTTCTTCTCCTCTTCCATCTTCTTGTTCTCCTCTTCATTCTTCTCCTCTTCCTTCTCCACGTCCATTCTCTTCCATCTTCTTCTTCTCCACGTCCATTCTCTTCCATCTTCTTCTTCTCCTCTTCCTTCTCCACTTTCCTCTTTTCCTGCTTCTTCTCCACTTTCTTCTCTTCCCGCTTCTTCTCCACTTCATCCCCCTTGATTTTGATTCCAATCAGCCTCAAAATCGGAAAAATGAAGGGCCATTTTCTAGCCCCTAATTCGTCCCTAAAGATGATTGGAAGAAATGATTTCCCACCATCCTTGGGTCGATTCTTCTCAACCCTTCTTGTATCATACTCTTCGTTCTTCTTCTTCTTCTCTTCCATCTTCTTATTCTCCTCTTCACTTCATGCCTTGAATCTTTTGAGGACGGTAATAATAACATCCCATTTTCATTTCCGTCCGCTTCTTGCACTATCTCTATTTTCTAGAGACTTTTTTAATGAAGAATATAATGATTATTCCTTGTAAATCTTAAGAATCTCATAATGTTAATAAACATAGATCTACTCCTTCTTCCGCCACTAACCTGTACAGTAGTACGGGTTGAATTTTATATAGTACAAAATTTTCTATATTATATATTTTAAAATAAAGTGTTGATATATTATAGTAGTAAGTGAAATTTTTTTTTTGTAAGTACATATATATACTATTAAAATAAAGATATTTTCTTTTTTCTATAATACTAAATTATGGATAAGTTTTCTTAAGATATGAAAACCGAAAGTAATACTATTTTCAAAAAATTAATATTGTTTGAACAATGAGTTAATATATTTTTAACAACCATAAAATAAAATTGCACATAATTCAGTTAGATCAAAAATTTAATTATCATAAATGTGTCATATCGAAAACTAGATTATTTTGAGTTAATTAAGAAGTTAACTATTATTTGAATTAATTTAAGAAGTTCTTTTTTTTTTTAATTTGTAATTCTTTGGTTGTTGAAATAGAATTTTGTTTGAGCTAATTATAGAATTTAGCAAATATTCGCATAACAAAATATGTTATGAACATATTTTGGTAAATAATAATATCAAATTCAACCCGTACGTGGAGTCTATATTTTCATTTTAGAATTCCAGTGAAAAAATTGCGTACACAAACTATCATTCGTTATTTTCAAAATTGCTTGGAGAATCAAATTTTCAAATATTTAGAAGTGTCAAACCTTATTTAACACATCTCATCATATAATATTAACATGTCTTCAGTTATAAAAATCATCTCTTATTATCATAAAATACATTACCTTTAATCTGATGCTTACTATTTAAAATATATCTGTTTTAAAAAATCAAATTAAAGTATTTATAGTTTCATCTTTGAGAAATTCCTAAAAATAGCCCTAAAACAAGTTTTATTGACAATAATAGCACACACTCCATAAACTTCCAAAAATAGCACTAGATAACTTACTATTAGTGTTTTTGTTCTAAAAATTTTATCACTAGTTTTTTTTCAATAATACCATAATTTTTATATAAAAGCTATTCAACAAAATAAATTAGAAATAAATTTAAAATATTATATTTGGGTTCTCTCTTTCCAATTTAGGGTATATATTTCTACCATTTAAAAGAGATTTTTATTCATTTTAATATTAGTTTATGGTATTATATTTGGGTTCCCAATTTCCAATTTAGGCTTTATATTTCCACCATTTAAAAAAGATTTTTATTTTAATATTAGTTTGTGGTATTATATTTGGGTTCCCTATTTCCAAATTAGGGTATATATTTCTACTATTTAAAAACAATTTTGATTCAATTTAATATTAGATTAGTGTTTGCTTTTTTTTTTTATTTTCTATCTTATATTTTCATTAAGTTAAATTGAAGTTTATGGTGCTATTTGTGGAACTTTTCAAATGAGGTGCTATTTTTGGAAAAAACAACTTTTTGGGGGCTATTTGTGTCAATCTCCCTTTATCTTTTTAATTTATTAAATATTTATAATATTATTTAAAATATAAAATTAAACTATTTTTAAATTTTCTAAATTAGAATTCTTTTCATTTTTTTATTGTACTATATAAAATTATGAATTTCAAAAAAGAATTGTATTAAATAAAGTAGAAATATTCAAATAGTTATAAGGATCGTAACTCATTTCATGATATAATATATTATATTTAACCCGCCGCCTATTGTAAATATTTTTAAATGTATTTGTTTTAAAAAACCAAATTAGAGTACTTATAATTATTAAATCTTTTATCTTCAGTATTGATGATATTTTTTTAAAAATCAAATAAATCTATTTTTAAATATTCATAAATAAAATATTTAAAATTTTATTGTAGTATATAAAATATACATTTCAAAAATATAAATGCATGAAATTGAATATAGATATTCATACTCTCTCGATCTTGTAAACATTTTGCAACGAAAACCACTTTAGATTCTCCTAGTCGATAAGGTAGATGGAGAGGTGGTGACTGCCCATACACGACTTCATATGGAGACATTTGCGTTGCAGTATGGAACGTGATATTGTACCAAAATTCTGCTAAGGAAAGTCATTGGCTTCATAAATTCTGTCTATCACTGCACATACACCTGAGATAAGTTTCAAGGCACTACAACTTCTGATAAAATTCTGAATATCCATAATTAGACATGCCCTTCCAATAGAACATACCTTTTACCCAAAGTTTCTTCCGTCTCCCGACATTAGGATATATCTAAAACGTAAACGAACAGAAAAACTAGATACATGGTGTGAAATGATAGACATTCAAGAAACCAGAAGCTAAGCTTGGTATCATCATTTCACTAATATTATCCAAAACTATGTTTAAGTCATCATCATAATCCAAATCATCCTTCCATCTACACCCAAAAAGTAAATTCAGTCTCTAATTCCATTAGATTAATCTCTAGTTTTCATCTCAAACCAGACTAAAGTTTACCAAAAACAAAAAAAAAACCATTACCATAAACTAGCTATTGACTTATACTATAACGAACATGTTCCTCATTAGTCATGACGTTTATTACCCAACTCATGGAGATGGAGGAAGAGCAAAGAATGGATCTTCTCTGTTATTATAGATCTGGAAGAGTTGTTTCGAGTATTTGCATGCTAATATTTCACATTTCTTAACGTCTTCAAACTTGAAACTTTTCAAATCCTCAACCGATTTCTTCATATCACCGGCGGGATCTCCATCCGTCAGAAATAGTGCTATGCTAGTGCCCCTAATCATCATTCAATTAAAACGCAAAATCAAGAAAACATTTTAATAACAGATCAAAAAGGGTTTGCTAGTTACTCTACCTTACAGCGTCAACCTTGCTGAAACCGCGACCATTACTGACATGACTTGATCTTTCCACCTTTTCATCTTCTGTTTGAAACCTGAACAGAACACAAACCGCTCTCATACAAAGCTCGGGATCTTTACCGAAATCTGCCAGCATATCTGCCTCATACTCCCATATCCGCTTCTCGGGTTTCTTGTCCCTCCTTAACCTTGACATGACTTCAGCATAATCGGTTTCTCCATCAGATTCCTCTTCCCCGGTTTCATCAGACTTTTCACTGACACTCTCATGACTAACATCATCAACAATAAACCCATCCAGACTCTCACTCTCTGACTCTTCTTCTGTCTCATCATCATCTGCATTATCGGTTGTCGGGATTCCCACAAGTCTCTCTGTTGTAGCAGATATCCCTTCAGAAACTCTCCGTTTATTCAGTCTTGCCGACACTCGACGCTGTCCACTCAATCTCCTGGACTCACTCTCTCCTTTGTTTGGTGTATCAACCAAATCTGACATCTCTTGGTTAGTTGGTTTCAAATTCATGAGCACTGAAATCGGTATATTGTCTTCATCATCATCATCATCATCATCGTGTTCTGAATCGCTGGCAATAACCCGCTTCCTCTTACGCCTAGAAGGAGTACTTGTGTTAACATCACAAGGTTCCACATCTTCATCTTCATAATTCTCACCAATAGTTCTCTCCTCTAAAGTATCCATAACATCAGCATATTCCTTCTCGCTTCTCTCCTCTGTTTCATCATCACTTAAATCAACTACACCACCAGATTTGTGACAATCATCTTCAAACGACAACATCTTATTCACTCGTCTCCGAGAAGACATGTTGTCTCTGTCTCTGTCTCTCTCCAAGATATAGTCTTTAACCGGTGTGGTCATATAAGGTGAGCCTACATGAAGAAAAAAAACACAAACAAAATCAAATCCATTACACCGAAAAAAGCGAAACACAAGCGGATTTATACGAATAAACCGATCTATGATTCTTCTCACCTAAACCTTGATAAAAACCTAATCCTTCCCTAGGCAGAGCATCATCTTTATACACTTTACAAGATTCAATATTCTTGATCCTAGCTAACTCCAAACCTAACTTCACATTCTCATCCAATTCCAATTCTCCATATCCAAACCCACCAATTTCATATAACTTTCGCACAGTCTCCACAAGTTTCTCAAACTTTATTTTCCAATCATCAACTTCTTTCTTAGCCACCTGTTTCTCAAACTCCAACACTCCGTTCACCATCATCTGATCAATCAATGAACTTTCCTCAGATTCTTTAAGATTCCTCAACTCTTCTTCAACTACTAACTTCTCTGATTCCAATTCTTTAACCCTCAATTCAAGTGACTCAAACTCTTTGTTTCGTTTCTGCAACTCTGTTTCTAACTCAATGTACTTTTCTTCACCTTTTAAAACCCTTTCTTCTAACTCAAGACACCGACAATTTTGTCCCATCGAATTCACCTCCATAGCCAAAAATTCCTCTTCTTAAAACTATAATTAAAACCCTAAAATATCAACAAGTCTCCTAGAATACAAAAACCAAACAAATCAATTACACAGAACAAAAACTTAAACCGTACCTCAAAGTCTGCTTCCAAATTCAGAAGAAAACAGAAAAATCACGAATTGATCGCAACATTCTTTACCCAAACCCTAATAAACGCGAGAAGAGAATGAGACTAATTGGAGGAAAAAAAAAAAAAAATTCCTCTGTGGAACAAGTAACGGACAACTGTTCACAAGCCCTAATAAACACGAGGCGGTGTCACGTGTGCACGAGTGTTAAGATTTGCCACGTTGACGATTGTGAGTCCGCACTACACGCCGTTTTGTATAAGATTAAAAACGTCACGCATTTTTTGGCAATGTCTATAGAGGTGGGCTCACTTATGGGCCATAAGGCTGATTTTTAACGGCCCATTGTAGAGCCATTGGATGCTTTATGTTTTAACTTAAGGAAATCTTCCGAGTAGTACAGAGAGTTTAAATGGAAACAAGGACAAGAGGTCCACATTTTGAAGTCGAGGAAGACATTCTTGAAGCTTTATAGTTATTGAATTATTGTAAGATTGTTCTTTTTGATTCACTTAATTATTCGAAGTTAAAATTGATTGCTCTTCTTTTACCCTCTGGCTAATTTCAGCATAAGTTTTTATAATCTGACAGGATTTCGTTACCTCTTTTGTTGCACCGTTGGTGAGGAAAAGAGTAACAAAATTTTACTTGTTTTGGTAACTTGGACAAGTCAACTCTCGTTAATTTTTGGATTCCATGACATTGTAAAATTCAGCTAAGGATCCATTTTTTCGGGGTAACATTACAATCTTGGCTCACACTTATACTTAATGAAATATATGTATGTATATATCTACTTGAAATGGAGTTCTATCTAACTTCCGAATGTCTTGAACTAAGATCACTAGGTTATTATATATATAGAGTAAAATATGTTTTTTTGTACTGAAAAAAGAGAGTAAAATATGTTATTTAAAAAAAAGAAGGCCGAAGTTTGTATCCAAGACGTCGACTTTTAGAATAAAATGGTCATATATATTCACTAGCTAGTCACTACAATATGATACATCGTTTCGATTAGAACATGTAATTTAGTGTTTTGTGTTAAATTCGTCGATCGATGCGTTACTAAGTGGATTCAATATACCATAATGCATGTTGACAAAAAATAATATAACACTTAATTACAAATTATAAATAATTTGGAATTTGAAACTAAATAACAACTCGGTTATAAAGATAAAATATTCACAAATAGCGAATATGTATATATTTGGCTAGTTAATACTTGCACGAGATTTACAAAAAATTATCAATTCGAAGCATTCAAGTTTAAGTTTTTGCTGAAAAATTTCTACTAGAAGAGTAAAAAACAGATTTGAAGATACATGCACCACATCATAAAAAGGTGCATAACCATAACCACTCATAATGGTTTTAGTAGAAGATGGGGACATTGCATTCACCATGTGGGCTCTTCGAATCTAATTTGCAATCAAATGTATTATGGGTCCCCACTTATTTTCGGGAGGCCATTTCTTCTCCAAATCTAGCCGTCATTATTATTTATTTCACCAAAATTATCTAAGAAATAACCCTATTTAGGAGTAATTTGATCAATACTGATTTAACAATCATCCATTCATGAATGGAAGAGTATTATTTGTGGTCACATAAAATAGGACCTAGCATTTATGAAATGTTTTATAAATGGACTGTCTCTAAGTCATTAATGTGTCTTACAAATTTAAACACTGGTCCAATTAATATAAAGACAACACTACTTGAAAATCAACTGTTTGACTCCGAGGATAATCTCTTGTTTGACCTAAAACATGCATGGCATTTGTATCATGTACTAATATGATTATTAGTTTTAGGTCCGTTTGTTGCAAATGTTTAATTAATGTTAGGATAATTTACAAAACTAATAAATGTGGCTTTTTGGCAAGCAAGACTCATATATATAAATGGTTAACTGAAATCTACAAAATGTTTAATGTTCTGCATGTATATAGTTTTTTTCTTCTCTTTTTTGTTCCTTAACTTTCCTCTATGTTAGTTTCCGAGTAAAAAGCTCTCTAAACCTTCCTACTACTTTTGTGAAACTCACTATTTTTAAAAATAGTTTTTTTTAGCATCATCATTACTAACTGTAAATGCGGAAAAGAAAACAATTATGAGCTAAGTTGTTTTTGAGGAAACTCATTCGTATTACAGAGACACAATTATTACCTACGATATTTGTCTTGCATAGATGATGAAACTCATAAACTTGTAATCATGCAATAAGGCACAGTGCGATGAGAGAGAGAGCAATAAAGCTTGGCTCATGTATTTCGTGGTGAGAGTAAATGATATTTCAGATCTTCGTAGCGATTAAAGTTTGAGTAGGACCCAACTCATTCACCTCTTCAGCTACTTCTACAATTTTGTTTCTACTATAATCGATTTTATTTTTTACCCAAATAAACAAAATAGAAATAAAAATGTTATCATTCAAAATCCTTAGATTCTGCTTCTAGTACAAAACCTTTGCCAATTTTTGTATATGTTCACATTTTAGTTGATATGTTAACAGAGAGAGATATACAAATAGTTATATGCAACACCATATAGTCGTGTCCTAGCTAGGGACTGCCCAATTACAGAGGTGAGAGACGTGTAGGGATGTAATACGTAGGTAGGGTGCAGGCAGAAATTAAGGAAATTAAATTTTTGTCATGCAAATGTAATAAAAGCACATAGAAGGAGACAAATGTGTAATATTAATATATAAATATATTTTTTTTGAATTTTAAATGGAAAAAAGAAAGGAAAAAGAGGTAATGGTTCGCGATGAAATCCAACTTACAATTTTCAAAGTTTGTGTTCTTTCCTCGATATTTCTTCACACACACACACACAAGTTGGTAATTGATCAACTGCATATATTTGTGTGTATATACTACTATCATTTGCTTCTTCTTTTTTTTTTTTTTTTTTCTTGTGATAATGAACTATCATTTGCTTATATTTAGGGTTTCTTCATTATTATTTTTATTTATCTCTTGAAGATCTTATCAAAGAGAGCCCTTGATGTATCTCAAAGAATCATTTAATGCTCGATCGGAGCCTAGGGTTTTAGAGCTGATTTTAGTTCAAAGCTACAAACTTAGGGTTTTGCTTTTTTCCTTCTCTGAATCGATCGTAGGATTAGGTGTAGCATTTAGCCATTTAGGGCATACTGTGTTTTGGTCCCCAATGCGACTCCTACTGTCAAAATTCACAACTACGTGAATCGTCCCCATACAAACAGGTACACACATGCAAAATTGTAAATGGTGATCTACGTAATCTTCTTATGCGTTCATATATAGATGGTAGACTTAAAAGATGGTAACGAATGCTCAATTGCTCATATATGTGTTATGATTGATATTTTTGATGTGAACGTATATTTCATTAAGGAATGGGAGAGTTTGTAAAGATTTGTAAAATTAACCCCAATAGATGTGTTATATGTGTTTTTAGTTTTCAACCCTAAATTGATTAATTAATTCAAATATAATGTGTTATTTGAGTGCTACTAGACGTTAATTCGATAGTCTTGTGCTACACTGGAAAATGAATCATTTACGGCAGTAATTTTTTTATTAAATTGTAGTTTTGATTATATACAGAGTCAGCTAAATCATCCTTGTTAGCAAAAGAGGAAAAAAAAAATTGTTTACGTAAAGCGGAAGTGTATAGCGTTTTACCAAAACGTCAAATTAGTCTCCTACTTTGTATCTCTTCGATGAATTATCAAATGACTAAGTGAACACACTAACATAAATATCTATGCTCGACCATATGGAAATTCCATTATACTACGACCACTTAATGTGTTTGATGTTAGATTACGGAAAAAATAAAAATAAAAAGAGAAAAGAGAGCTTAAATATTTCCATTTTATAAAATATTTTAAATAGTTGACCAAAAAAAAAACATTTTTAATATATATATATATATATATATATATATATATATCTATTTTCATTTTCTTTGATTTTTTCAAAATTTTATGCAAAACTTAATTAGTTAAATTTGATGTGTTGTGGTGATCATTTCTATTGTACAAAGTATTTTATTATTAGTTAAATTATTTTTAGTTAGATATTATATAATTTTAATGTAGTAAAGAATATACATATAATTTATGTCATTTCTTAATCTCCATCTTTTTAGCTAAAACATCCTAATTGAAACAAAGAAAGTATAATTTATGTTATTTCTTGATCTATATGTTTTTAGGTAAAACATCTTATAAATCAAAACAGAAGAAATTACTGTAAATGATGATCCAAAAGTATATTTCTTAATCTTCATATTTTTAGCTAAAAGATCTTATAAATCAAAATAGAAAAAGTGTAATTTATGTTATGTCTTAAACTATATGTTTTTAGATAAAACATCTAATGAATCAAAACAGACGAAAGTACTATAAGCTAGCTGTGTGATCCAAAAATCAAGTGCGAGTAATTTTGGAACCAGATTGAGATCCACACAGGATTTCAACCTTACGAACCGAGCTTGAGTTGGTGCTACGTTTGAAAAGTGATTCATCTGTCAAAAACCTGTCGTGGTCTCGTACTCGGATAGATTTACATGTAAATGGTTCATAACTTCACCACAGTGACCATCTAGAATCCATAACTAAAATATCCAACTATCTAGCTATAACTAGATAATTTAATAAAATAAATTTGAAAATATATCTTGTTTACTATAAACGTTTTACAAAACCAAAACCTAAAATCCGAAACAAGATCATGATCATCACTTTAGCTATAAAAAAGAAGATCATGATCATCGCTGCAATAAGGAGATGGTGTGTATATATCCTTATACTCCATCATACATGCATTCATCTTCACATACATACATACATACATACATACATCCATGTTCATATATATATGTATGTGAAAACATGGATGCATATAAGCATGCATGCATGTGGATGAATGAAGAATTGGAATCTCGGGCACGGAGAAGGCGTGTCCGGTCATTGAAAGCCGCCCACCATCTTTATTATATTTGTTTCCGAAGTACTGATCTTTCTGCTCAACTTGCAGATTTTGATTTCTGCGCAACTTGCAACTTTCTCATTCTCAATTTTGTTTCTGATTAATTGCTTCAAAAGTCAATTATTATTATAAAAAGGCAATAAATTTCAGAGTATTCATATATTCATTCTTTTAGTCTGTCGAGTTTTTCTTTGATTAGTAATTATCGACGCCAACTCATGACACGACTTCTTAATCGAGACTGCGGGAAGAATATAATCAACGTTTCGTTATGTCATATAAATAAAATAAATTTATGTCAATCTCTTTTTTGTTGTTATAGTAATGTGACGAGCAACAGTGTTATAGAAATGTAGATTTTGATTTGCGAAATAAATAGAGCAAGACAAAACTGTACGAAAATTAAAAACATGTCATAGTCTCCATAAAAAGGGTATCTATCCGTATATATATGAAATTGAATAATACCTTGGATCCGAGTCATATCAAATTAATATCCTGCATGCATGAAGAATTAAACTTTAGTTACATTACTGTGTCCGCTAAATCAAAATCACTGACAAATATCTTGTTTATTCATTTGTATAGTGTATTAAGTATCCTGGTTGGTTAAAAGTTAAAACCGAAAACCGAATTCGAATTGGTTTACATTTAACCATAGTGGAATTCATGAAAACTAGAATTTTAGGATCAGTTTGGAATGTGCACATTCCAAAAAAAGATCATTTTGTATCTATTATTTTAATTTTTTGTATTACTTATAATTGATGTAAAAACATTTTATATCACTTAAATAAATGACTCTGAAAATGGTGATGCAAATAATTTATATCGTTTTATTAACAACTGATGCAATTTTACAAATTATTTGCATTGGTTATTGTAAATGATGTTAATTTTGTGTCAATTATAAAAACTGATGTTATCTTATAAAAACACATGAGAACATGTAATTAAAAGTAATTTTCATAATTATAAGACAATGTTTCATTTAGCATATTTATAAGCATTGCATTAAAAAGAAACGTATATAGTTTGTTTTCTTAATTGATGATGTTTCTTTAATTTGGGCTAGAAACAAAACATAAAGGAGAAGAGACCCGTTACCAAAAAGACATGGTCAGGTAAATAATATCTGACAGCCAACACATTAACTTCAAACCTAACGACTACCTGGTTTGTCTTGGCTCCATCTTCTTAAATTTTCGTTTATTTTGTAAAACATTTTAGTGGATTATCATTTTTTTTTTTGGCACACAAGGTATTATATATATGTGTGTGTAAAAAATATTTCAAAAACTTTTGAAAGGGAAAGTTCAAATGAAGGGTCCTCAAGATGCAATTTGATTTTGATGAGACAAAATGAGGCACGACTAGTATGACATCAACTATTTATTGCCTTAGATTAGATCTATCTCTTGTCTTTTGTTTTTTTTGAAAACAAATTTGTTTGCTCCTTGTATCAATTTAAAGATGAACTTACAAAAGAGGTGTTTATATATATAATACCTTGTTTGCCAAAAAAAAAAATTATATTTGTTAGATACTTAGACTCTCTCAACTTTTTTTGAGAGACTCTTATAATTAATAAAATATTATTATTTATCATTTTTTTTTTGGTAGATAAGAGACTCACCAATGCACATGCTCTTATATTAAACTACGAAATTAGCAAAGAACAAATTTACTTGTTTGAAATCAATTCACTATACTCTAAGTGGAAATCAATATATTGACATCGACTAACGAGAACATGTTTGAAATTGGTTTACCAATCATAAAAGGTGTCTAAATTTGTATATGTTGTTTTTTTTGAATAATGAATTATCTATAATGTGAATGTACAACATATCATTCAATTGATTGTCTCACGAGTGAGGCGCTAAAATAAATGTGAATTAACTAATTTCAAATAGTTTTTTGTTTGTTTTTTTTTCTTGCATATATATTTACTTGGAAACCGGGATTGGTCGGACCATTCGCAACCCGAACATAAACGTAAATTAAATACAAAGAACGTACATGTCCGTGTTTATGTGTATTACATGTTTGCGTGTACAAAAAACAATTATACCGAGTTTGTGATTATTCAAAATTTTACCCCCAAAAGAATCCATAAAAATCTTTTCCTAAGGAATTTATGTATCTTTCCCTTTGCAATATGCAACCTTTATCTCTCTAATATAAGTATACAGTAAGACGTACCATATATACATGTAGATGCATATTTATATCTAAAACATAAATGAGACACGAAAAACCTAGATCCTCCCCAAATTTCATCCAACGGCACAAACCGCATAATAAATAACCCTATCAAAATATAATAATAAAAATTGAAATTTGATAGCGATAGTTTAGTTCTCGATGAATGCGAGTCCCTCATATTTACTCCTTTTGGCATTCACTCTCTTTATTTCTCTTTATCAACTTGATATGTCTTTTGGCGTCTCTTTCTTTCTCTAAATCTTTCTTTCTTTCTTTTTTAGTTTTTTTTTTTAAAGTCCAACCATAAGACAAAACAACGAACGGGGAAGAGAGAGAGAAGGATATATTTCTAGTCACGATGCAGGAGATAATACCGGATTTTCTTGAAGAGTGTGAATTCGTCGACACTTCACTAGCCGGAGATGATTTATTTGCCATCTTAGAAAGTCTTGAAGGCGCCGGAGAGATATCTCCGACTGCTGCATCTACACCTAAAGATGGAACAACAAGTTCCAAGGAGTTAGTTAAGGATCAAGATTATGAAAACTCATCTCCTAAGAGGAAGAAGCAAAGACTAGAAACCAGGAAAGAAGAGGACGAAGAAGAAGAAGACGGAGATGGAGAAGGAGAAGGTGAAGAAGAGAATAAGCAAGATGGGCAACACAAAATGTCTCATGTAACCGTGGAACGTAACCGGAGAAAGCAAATGAACGAGCACTTAACTGTTTTACGTTCTCTTATGCCTTGTTTCTACGTCAAACGGGTATATTCAATACATCCATAGATTACTATTCGTTTAACTAATCTATTTGGTATACCTAACTATCCTATCATTTCTTAGAAACACCAAAACTATCATATCTATGTTTTAGGAATAATAACAATTATAATGACATTTGGTCCCACTAATCATCTCTTTTTCTTTTCTTTCTTTCATGTCACAATGTGATATAGAATGTTCATATTGACTTATATTTTCTTTCTTTCCTCATAAACCAACCTATTAAAAAAAGGGGGACCAAGCATCGATCATAGGAGGAGTTGTGGAGTACATAAGTGAGTTACAACAAGTTCTTCAGTCTTTAGAAGCCAAGAAACAACGTAAAACCTATGCCGAAGTCCTAAGCCCGAGACTTGTCCCGAGCCCTCGTCCTTCACCGCCTGTTCTAAGCCCGAGAAAACCACCTCTTAGCCCGCGTATCAACCACCACCAGATCCACCACCACCTCCTTCTCCCTCCTATAAGTCCTCGAACACCTCAGCCCACAAGCCCATACCGGGCCATTCCACCGCAACTACCACTCATACCACAGCCTCCGCTTCGCTCTTACAGCTCATTGGCAAGTTGCAGCAGCTTAGGAGACCCACCTCCATACTCTCCTGCTTCAACTTCTTCATCTCCTTCAGTTAGTAGTAACCATGAAAGTAGTGTGATCAATGAGCTTGTTGCTAACTCAAAATCGGCTTTGGCTGATGTGGAAGTGAAGTTCTCAGGAGCTAACGTGCTGCTCAAAACGGTGTCGCATAAGATCCCGGGACAAGTTATGAAGATAATTGCTGCTCTTGAAAATTTGGCTCTTGAGATTCTTCAGGTTAATATTAACACCGTCGACGAAACCATGCTTAATTCTTTCACCATCAAGGTACGTACGAATAATCATCCTAATTAATTTTCACTGACTTGTTTTTTTGTCTTTCTTCATAAGTGTAATTCATACATTTATTTTTCTTACATAGGATATATGGTGGGGGAAGAACTGGTAGGGTAGTGTAATAAGTAATAATTCATTGAGATTCACATATTTTCAAAATTCATTCACACTTTCGATATATAAGAAATTCAATGTATGATATATAATTCTTATCTACATTATATATATATGCACACAAAACGTAGGGTATGTGAATATCAGATTCCTCACAAGCATACAAAACTAAACTGTTCTTTGTTTTATATACTTTTACTAAAACTCTTACTACACATTTGACTTTCTTAAAATAAAAATGGTGTGAAAGAACACGTGTTTATATAAATTATATAAATTCTACGTGAACATTGAAGAGCACCCAAAATCTTAAAATTTTAAATAAATTATTCTATATATATGAAACATTATTCAAATAGATCAAGCTGATGTAGTTTAGTGTCAAGACATAGTTTCTATTTTCGATAAGTACTTACATTTCTTTTTTTAAGTTTCTACATTTGTCATGAAGAATTTATACAATGGATGTAGGTCCAATTGAGATCTTTCTTTTAAAAATAATTAAATTTGTGATTTTTTTTTTCTGTGTGAGAATTATGTCATATATATAATATTTATATAAACTCTGTCTTTCTTTGGGATTTTAGCGCCTCGAGGAATATAGAGCTACTCAGAATGATATTAATTGAAAATTATTTATATATATATCTTTTTTTTTTGTTAAAGAACACAATATAGACATCTCTCTTTTTCTTTTGATAGATTGGAATTGAGTGCCAACTAAGTGCAGAAGAACTGGCTCAACAAATTCAGCAAACATTCTGCTAAAAAGAAGGATTTAATACATCTTCGTATAAACCCTAACGAGAGACCAGTACGTACTCACTATCTCTCCTTAGTATCCTTTAATTATCTTCAAACTTTTCTACAAAAATATGGAGGTTTAAAAATAAAACCGTTATTTAAAATTTTAAACAAATATTGATTAATTATAACTAATATAGGTATAAGTGAGTTTTCATAGATTATCAGCTTCATATATAACAGCTTTGTCATGCACGTGTTTTTTCTTTTTAATTTTAGAATTAGCCGTACTCTCCTACTATGTAATTTTATTTCTGTTATTCCGTCGAGTATTGTAGTTGTATTGCATTTGAATAAACAAAAGTGTATGAGTGATCTCATGAATAATATTATTCTTGCATTTTAAATTTGTGAAGGATATATCTTATGTAAATAGAAAGAATGATTCGACATGCCGCAGCGAATGTTCTACAATTCGAAAGAGTGGATGTTATAGATCGATATAGAGAATTAGTTTTTACAAGGATGTAACGATGTTAATTGAAGAGTTTATCAAAACATATATTTTTTTTTTGTCAATTATCAAAACATATATTATAAACTCCTTTTTTTTATAAAATGAATTCCAAACTCTTAATAAATGATGTTTTAATTTTATTTTTTTTTGCTATGGAAAATGCATGGATTATCTTGTCTCAAATTGAATTATATAAATGTACACATTTATACCGAACGTGTATACATATTTGTGTAAGATCTAATTTAAATGTCTCGTTTCACATTTTTATCAGTTCAATTATATTTTACATATTTAATGTAAGAATATCTCCAGTGTATATTTTGATATATAATTTTAGATATTTAAGTCGTGAAATCAAATTTGCTGAAAATGTACAAGAAAACAGGCACAACCTGTCTGAACCCCAAAAAAACAGTCACAAACTCAAAGTCAAGCTTAGAGTCATACAGATTAAGAGAAATTTTGATAGACGTACGTATACGAAAAATATAATATAAAATCAGTACTAGTATATATGGCCACTTATATTGGTGGTCTTTAGAAAAGTTGTATCTAAAAATTAAAATATTAGAAAATAAAGAAAAAGAATAAAAGAGAAAAAGCAAAATCTCTCGTTTGAGAAACGATGGTATGTTAATGAGAAATTCTTCGGCTGATGTGTAATATTTATGTGGTTCTAATATTTTAGTTTTAAGACAACGGAGATGCTCTAAGTTCTAAACCATTTTGTTTACTCGTGAGTCGTGACCGGTGCATGAAGATGAAGACTTGAAAATGTCAATGGTGTCAAACGATTTAAAAGCTTTTGAAATAGAATTGTGTCCTCTTTTTGTATAAAAAGTACAAAAATAAAATACTGTTGTTGGTTTTAAAATTTTGAATGTAAAACTTCATCAAAAAACAACCGAACCGAATCGAATCGCATAACTGAATCCAAACCAAAATTTTGAAAATATCTAAATAAATCTTAAAAATTTTTAATAGAATTATCCGGAACCAAACCAAACCAAAGCCTAGAAACTAGAGAGGCAGAGAGCAGTGTGTCCTGGTAAATTTACAATTGGGTTGCAAAACTGGAATTGGGCATATCTTTTCAGCCCATATTTACTTTTACTTATTTCTAATGACATTAATCTATATAATGATCGGTCATGCGCATGCCTTGTTAAATAATGGGCTCAGCCGAATGGGATACTATTGGGCCTAAAATTGATATGTTTTAACTGGGATTGTGATTTGTGTGTTACTGTGAAACGACATATAGGATATAGCTATGGACCTTTGGTAGCTGAATTGATTCGTTTGGTTCGTAATTATGAAAGCATAGCCGAAAGTTCTATGATTCTATCCGTTTAATTCCTGTCCATGAAAAATCAGATTTAGACGGAAAACAGTCCGTTCATTAGTCGTTTAGCAATAAGACGGACATTTTAAATAGATTTTAAATAGACTTTTAGGATTATCTCCTGCTTATTATTATTATGTGTTGGTAGAAAGTTTTCAAACTGATAAACTTTTTTTTTTTGGGTAAAATAAACTGATAAACTTTTGTATGAAGCTACATTTAAATATAGATGCTTATTATGTATTTATTTCCTTAAAAATTTTTAAGTTCCTACATAGCGCATGTAATGTAATACCTAGGGTCTGATTGGTAACAAGCTGTTAGCTGTTAGCTGGAGCTGTTAGCTGTTAGGGAATAGTGCAAAGCTGTACAAAAGAATAAAACACCAAAGCTGTACAAAAAAAAAACGCAGAACAAATTTTAAAAATTTACTCTGATTGGAAACATTATAGCGGTACACATAATAAATAATATTCAGAGTTTAGAAAGAAAAAAAAATTACATAGAAATGTACTTTAATATATAATTACATATGAAAAATAAAATTATACAGAATGAACAATATTTTATTGTTAGAATAATAATATGAATTAACTAGTCCTAAAATAAATAAAAATATCTTTTTCTTTATTATAAAATAAAAACATTAAAACTGATTTACTAAAATTAATTTTAGTAATTTTTTAATCTGAAATACAATGTCTCAAACATACATAGAGAATTTAAACATACGTAAACACATAAACAATTGAAATTAAGTACGAACTTCCCATAACAAATCTGCTATTTGATTACGTACATCTGCCATATATGCTCCACTTCTCGATGTTTCCAACTCTTCTATTTCATTGGCCACACTTATATCTACATCATGTTGTCCATTATCATTTTTATTTTCTGCATCGGTCTCAAAATCATCATCAGCAATATTGGAACGTCGAATGTAATTATGAAGACCCATTGTAACAAGCACTAATTTTTTTTGAGTTTCTAATTTGTAAAAAATAATTAGTTACGGTTAAAAAATATATTAACTGTAACCGTTAATTAACCGTAACCGTATTTAACCGTAACCGTTGTAACCGTAACAGTATTTAACCGTAACCGTAACAGTATTTAACCGTAACCGTTTTCACCGTATATATAATAGTTAATGTTACATTTTAAAAAAAATATAATCGTAACCGGTGATTAATTAACTGTAACCGTAATAACCGTAACCGTGGTCATGCCTAAAAAATAGTGAAGAGCTAATTTTAGTTTGATATAGTTTTTATTATTTTAATCTGTTTTTATTTTTGTCCAAAAAAAAACTTGTTTTTGTACCGTTGTAACCGTAACCGTATTTAACCGTAACCGTTATAACCGTATTTAACCGTAACCGTTATAACCGTATTTAATCGTAACCGTATTTAACCATAACCGTTTTAATTTGTTTTTGTTTTTGTCCAAAAAAAACTGTTTATGTTATCTGTACCGCTTTTCATAAAGCTTTTGTGATTGGTAACTGTCAAAGCTGTACAGCTTTGTACAGCTTTAAAATTGTTCACCAATCAAACCCCTAGTGTTTAAGTGATTGTGAAGTTCATAACCTTTGGTTAGAAATTGGAGTAACTTTTTTTTTTCATTTATTAAAAAGTTTAACTAATTAATTTTGTAAATACTTTTTCAGTGATTGTAAACACTAATGGAGTATCTCTTATTTCTTTATTATTTATAAAGTGATTGTCATTAGTTTTTTTTTTTTTTTTGACATCCGTGATTTTCATTAGCTAAAAAACTCAACCATAAGTTTTTCAAAGGTCTTAAATACACAACTTTTATTTTCTAAATATTTTAAGGGTCATTTGCAAAAGTAACCATTTTGGATAAACTATTTAAGAATATAGCACCTTGATGTGCAAAATTAAGCAAATAACACTAAGGGGTGATGAAAAGTCCAGTAACTCCTCGTTAAGGCATGTTGACAGTGGATGCGCGCGTGGAGAGGAGAGTGACGTGGCTGACGTAATCCTTTACTCTCGTTTCAGTTTGTGAACACACGCGTGAAGAGAGGGAAGCGTGATGGTGGCGATGGTGACGACAACAGTGGTGGTGGTGGTGACAGCAAGTCAGCAACAACGGCGGTGGCGTTAGTGATGGTGGTGGTCGTCACGGTGGTGTGGCGACTTTAGCTTTATCATCATCGATTTACTGGTTTTGAATTCTTAATTCTAGTTTCATGGATCTAAGAATCTAAAAATTTTCAGATTTACTTTGGTGGAAATGTGAAGATTAATCGGACATATTCGGAAAATCCGGTGAAATCGTGATGAAATCGTGATGAAACCTTGATGTGAATAGCATGTAAAATTGAGAGGCTTGTGCAACGTTTTTTTGTCTGAGTTTGTGAAATAGAAATGGATGTGTTTGTCAGTTTGTGTA